CCAACATCCCACCACAGCCATCGCAGCATCATCCCCCCAGCACCATCCCCCCAACATCTCACCAGCATCATCCCATGAGCATCAACCCACCAGCACCATCCCAGCATTGTCCCACCAGCATCCTCCCAAGATCACCACCACTTTCCCAGGTGCCACACCCCAAAAAACTCCTCCCACCCCAAATTAGCCCCTCCCACCCAAATTACCACCCCCACCTCCCCCCATCACTCTCTCCTCCCCATCCCACCCCAACCTCTGAGCTGGGTTGGGTGAGACTCAACACATGGTTTTCTGGTGGCTTTTCTCCACGGGAATTAGTGTCTTCCAGGGAAATTTGGGGTCCCTCCAGCGAACCCCCAAGCCCTGGGGAGGTGGTTTTTTCCCCCCCTTGCCTCCCAATTTTTCCTCTCTGGATTTTCCTCTCTGGATTTTAACAAGGCAACGCCGGAGTGGAGACTCTAGCAACCACATTTCAAAGCAACCCCCAGTTATCCACCAGTATTCCCAGTCACATAAAAACCACCCCCTCCCTCTGGAGTGTGTCAGGATTGGACACCCCCCCAAATCCTCCCACTTACCTGTCTCCCTTGGCAATGGGAAGAGGACGTCGAATCCATCGGGCAGCTCGATGGCAGTGAGGAAGCGGACGTGACCAGTGTGACCTTGGGAGAGTCCCACCAACGTGGGGGCGGCTTTGGGCGAGACGGCGAGGGTCAGCACCACACCGGCGCTGGTCCCGATCCATAGCAGGTCCTTACACACGAGAAGAGCCGTGATCCGCAGGCATGCTGCCTTGTGCTGCCGGATTATGGCATCCGAGCCTGTCGAGCATCCCAGCCGTCATCTGATTTTTCCCCACACACTTGGGGAATTTTATATTGTCCCCATTCATCCATCCATCCACCCGTATGTCCATCCATCCATCCATCCATCCATCCATCCATTCATCCATCTTCTATTCATCTTCCATCCATCCATATGTCCTTCCAACCATCCATCCATCCTTCCACCCATCTGTCCACCCACCCACCCATCCATCCACCAACCCACCCACCCATCCATCCACCCATCCACCAACCCACCCATCCATCCACCCATCCATTCATCCATCCATCCACCCATCCATCCATCAACCCACCCATCCATCCACCCATCCATTCATCCATCCATCCTTTCATCCATCCATCCATCCACCTACCCATCCACCCTTCCATTCTTCCATCCATCCATCCACACATCCATTCTTCCATCTGTCCATCCATTCATACATTCTTCCATCCATCCACCCATCCATTCTTCCATCCATCCATTCATCCATCCATTCTTCCATCCATCTGTCCATCCATCCATCCATCCATCCATCCTTCCCTCCATCCATCCATGGCCCCCCATGGGCACCCCGTCAATGTCACCCATCTGTTTCCTGGGGGACGTGGGATGTGGAGAAGGGACTCCAAAATCCCCCCGGATGGTATAAGGTACCCTGGAGTGTTGCCAGATTGGGCTACATGACTTCCCCATGGGATTATGCAGTTATGCAGGGGCTGCCCTATTCCCACATGGGATTATGAAGCCATCCAGGAGTTTCCCTATTACCCTATGGGATTATGCATCTACCTGGGGCTGCCTGATTTCTGCATCAGATTATGCATCTGCTCAAGGGCTGCCTTATCTCCTCACGGGATTACGCAGCCACCCAGGGGCTGCCCTATTTCTGTGTGGGATTATGAATCCATGCAGCACTGTCCTGTTACCCCATGAGATTATGCAGGTGCTCCCAGGGCTGCCCTATTTCCATGCGGGATTATGCACATGCCCAGGGGCTGCTCTATTCCTGCACGGGATTATGAAGCCAACCAGGGATTGCCCTATTACCCTGTGGGATTATGCATCCACTCAGGGGTTACCCTGTTTCCCTGAAGGATTACACAGATGCCCAGGGTCTGCCCTATTTCCGCATGGGATTATGCAGCCACCCAGGGGCTGCTCTATTATTCTGTGGGATTACGTAGCTGCCCAAGGGCTGCTCTATTTCCACATGGGATTATGCATCCTCCCAAGGGCTGCCCAACTCCTTCATGGGATTATGCACCCAGGAGATTCCTTATTATCCTGTGGGATTATGCAGCTGCCCAGGGGATGCCCTGTTTCTCCATGGGATTATCCATCTGCCCAGGGGCTTCCCTAATTCCCTGTGAGATTATGCAGCTGCATAACACCGAGGACGAACCCCATGAGTGCGACAAATCAGGTTTCCTTCCACAAAACTGGTCAGGATGCAGGAGAGATTAAATTTCCCAGCGGGAAATCTGCTGGGATTAAATTTCCGCAGCAGTGCTGCAGGACATTGAATTTTTCAAGTTGGACAAAGGGCATGGGTACCCACTGGTGACAGCGATGGGTACCCACTGGTGACAGCGATGGGGACCCACAGGTGACAGCGATGGGCACCAGTGGGACTTACCAGCGAGCATCTTGTGTACCGGGGGGGTGATATCCGCTTCAGCCAACTGGTCATAACTGGTGGCGTGGTAAAGCCGGACCTGGGCACTGCTCTGCAACGCCACCCACACGCCGGTCCCCGCGCTCACCATGCAGGTGACACTGCGCCCACCATCCTGTCCCACCTGGAGCGTGTGCTGTGGGTGACAAAAGCCACAGTGATGCCACTGGTGATGCCACCAACGCCCATCACTGTCCCATCCCACCTCCCGCTGTCATCCACTGTACCTCTTGCGCCAACGTGGTGGTGTTGAGGATGATGACGCGGTTTTGGCAACCGCACCAGAGCTTCCCTGCCACTGCCACCATCTTGGTGATGGGGCTCCCCGGCGAGCCCAGGGATAGGGACTTGGAGTTTTGGGGGTCCCAGAAGTGGCCTGTGAGGATGGTGGAAGTGGGGTTGGTGGTTAAAACATCTACCCCATGAAAAAAACCCCATCTTGACCCAGCCTATGGGATGCGGTGGCTGGAGATCACAGAATCACAGAATGGTTTGGGTTGGAAGGGACCTTCAAGATCATCCAGTTCCAACCCCCCTGCCATGGGCAGGGATGCCTCCCACTAGACCAGGTTGTGCAAGGCCTCATCCAACCTGATCTTGGAGATGCCTGTCTCCAGGTCCCCTGTGAAAGGACATCAGCTGATGTCCCCATGGGATGCCAGTGGTGGGCAGGGACCAGGAAGAAGACATGAACCTCCACGTGGCTCTCATTTTGGGGTCTTCAGCATCCCTTGAAGGATGTCCCTTCCCTTCCTGCAGAGGTGGGGAAGCCACCGGCACTGCCCAAGCCACCCATCGTGGCTTTCTGGCCACATTTAACCCCCACAGTGCCCTCTGATGGTGCTGATCCGGCCTCACCTGCCTCTCGTTGGTACGCAATGAGCTCCCCATTGGCCAACGACACGAAGACCTGGTTATCCAGGTACCTGCGAGAGAAAAACCCTTGGACAACTGGTTGCAGAGCCCCACTCAACCACCCCAAACCACCTCACTGTGGACATCCCGGAGCCAAAAAGTCTTCCCCACTTACAAGATGCACATGACGGCAGCGGCGTGCTGCATCTTCATGCTGTTCTTCCTGTTACGGATGTTGTCCGAGGACTGGTACACATGGATGCTGGGGGAGAAGAGCAAAGCTTGAGATTCATCCAGGCTCAGGATCCACCCCACGTGTGTCCCCGTCCCATCCTGGTGACGTACCAGCCATCCTCGGTACCCAACCACATGGAGCTCTGATGGGCTTCAGGGTCAAGGCTGAGGAGGTCCTCAAGGCTGCCGCGGGTGAAGGAGCCGCGGCTGGAGCGGCGCAGGGCTCGCCCATCCGTGGGGCTCTCGCCGTGTCGGTTTTGGCCGTAGGTGCCAGTGATGGGCATGAAACCAGGTTCTTGTTCTTCCTCCGAGCTCGTCGTCTCCGCCGTTGCCTCCTTGCAGCTCGGGATCTCTTCATCTGTGGAAGAGGAGGAGGAGGAGGAAGGAACGCCTCAGACCAGGACCACCCAACACCCAACAAAGTGATGGGGAAGAGACCATGGGTCCTCTTGTGATGGCAAGTCCAGGGATGTTGAGCCCCAAACCCACCAAATTTTACCCAAAGCCACCAGCCCCATCCTGTGACCATGGTGTTGGGCTGATGCCCCCCAACATCTTTTCCCAGGATTTCCTTGGCTCAAAAACCTCCAGCTCCCAATTTCCCCAAGGAATGCAAAGTAGAGTGGCCAAAATTACGGAGCTGCCCATCATTTTGGGGCAAAAAAGTGGGTTTTTTTTGCTAAGCAATGGCTGGGGAGGACTCACTGCCGAAGCTGGAGGAGATGGTGGAGTGGCTGGCTTGGCTCTGCAGCGTCCCTGAGGGACTGGGTGAGGACTCGTCATCCGTGTCATCGCTATCGAAGGGTACCAGCTCCCTGTTGCCACCATCAACCGGTTCCGAGAGCTCCAGCGACGATCCCGAGATGGAGATGTGGAGGCACGGCTGTGGCCCCGCGTCCTCCGACTGCCCTGGCATCGCTTCCGAGGAGGGGCTGCCCACCGGCTCGGCACGCTCCCTGCTGTGACAAGGGGAGGGAGGAAAGAAGCAGCTCCAGCATCACCCCCCGTGCCCGCCGGTTTGGCAGTGCTGGTGGGAATGTCCTACCTATATGTTCGCTTGAGACCGGGCACGGAAGCGATGCAGAGGATCCGGGCGGAGCAGACGGCAATGCATGCTTCCACCGTGGGTTCCTTCCGGATGCTGAGCAAACAAACCTGCCCCACGTAACCATCGCTGTTGCAAACCCAAACTTCATGGGAGCTTTCCGGGCTGCCGTGGCTGGGAGAAGCACAAGAAAACTGCAAGGGAGCAAAAAATGGGATGAGTTGGTCATCTGGGAATGATGCAAGAGCTCTCAGCATCCAGTGGTGAGCCCACCAGGATGGAGAGGACTGTGGCACCCGTGGGATGCATGAACCCCGCCGCCAAGTACCTGCATCCCGCTCCGTGTCTTCATGATGGGAATGGCCTTGAGGAACTCTGGGTCCAGGCAGTTTTTGCTGGAAGCTGGGAAAATTGAGTGGGAGGATGAAGAAGTGATGGAAGAAAAGGGTTTACCAAAGCAGGGGTGTGACGCTGAGCCCACCACCGCATCCACCTCCCAGGTCCCTGGTGTTACCCAGCTTCTTCTTGGCATCCTCGAAGGCTTGCTCGAAGCTGAGCCGGGCGTCGGGGTTGGGGAACTCAAAGATGAAGGACTCGGTGCCGTCGGCTTTGGTGGTGGTGAGCTCCACCTTGTTGGGGGGGAAGGCCATGCTGAAGGACAGGGATTGCTTCTCTGCCAGCTCCCGGTGGATGGCGGCCATCAGGTCCTTGATTATGTCATCCAGGCTCTGGGATGGGACAACGCTTCAGATCCATGTGTGTGATGATGCCCCTATCCACCCCTGAGCTGCCCCAACCCCATTGTGGTTTGGGGCTGGTGGCATCTGGGCCCTTTGAGGACACTCACTGCCACCAGCCTTTCCATGGGTTCTCCCTCCCGCTAAGGACATCCCAGCCAAGGGACAGCAACAGGGCCACCACATGATGCTGCCCCCATCCATCCATCCTCAAGCATCATTCAGAGGCTGCCCCAGCCCTCCTGTGGCTTTCGGGCTGGTGGCATCTGGGACCTTTGAGGATACTTATGGTCATTGGCCCTTCCAAAGGTTCTCCCTCCCACAGTGGACATCTCCATCAGTCCTACAGGAAAGGTGTCCAGCCAGGGGACAGCACCAGGGCCACCAAGTGGTGCTGACCCCATCCATCCAACCCCATTGTGGCTTTGGGGCTGTCGGCATCTAGGCCCTTTGAGGACACTCATGGCCACCAGCCCTTCCATGGGTTCTCCCTCCCACTGGGGGCATCCTGGTTGGTCCCATGGGGAATGTGTCCAGCCAGGGGACAGCACCAGGGCCACCATCCCCATACCTGGTGGGGGAAGCTGAGGGTCTCCGCCAGCTTGCTGACTTGCCCTAATGTGCTGAGGTCTTCATCCAGGCGGGAGATGCTTTTCTGGATGCTCTCCCGGTTGGTGGCTTGCGAGGCACCTGTGTGGGGACATGTGGATGGCATTAACCCCTTCCTCCCTGGCACCATGCAGGGGAACCTTCTCCCCAACAGCCAGGGGTGAGCAACGGCTTTGGGTTGAGGTGGGACGGGACACTCCAGCAGACAGTGACAGACCTTTGACAATGTCCACGTCCTCCAGCGGTAGCTTCCAGAGCAATTTGTACTTACTGGCCGTGTCGATCACACTGGCTGCTGTGTACCTGTGAGGTTGGGGGGGATGGCTGAGCTGCACCCCCATCCCCAGCACCCTAAAGACAGCCCAGCCCTGGAGGACAACCCTAACGAGGTGGGTTAATCCTGGTGGGTGTCACCAAGCCTGGTGGTACTCACAGGCTCATGGAACTGCGGCGGAGGGAGCCTGACTTGCGCTTCAATGTGGTGCACACCAGCAGGTCCGTGAAGAGGAAGAAGGAGCGGTCCTTCTTCCCACCCACCGCCTTCTGCAGAGTGGTGGGAGACATCAAGGGGTTAATGTTTCGGCACTGGGAGCGGTCCCTGCCTTAGTTTCCCCATACACAGCCTTGGCACAGGGAGGCTGTGGGGTGGGATGGGTCCTCACAAGGATGGAAGGGGACAGGGATGCCATGGCCATGTGGGCAAAGCCATGGGGTCCCACTCACAGGCAAGCACCAGGGCCATGGGAACTCCAGGACCCCTGTGGTCTCCACCTCCAGCCTCCCTATCCACCCCTGGCCTGGAGCTGCTGTGGGGCCTTCTGGCCTCCTCCCTGCTCCTGAACTCATCTTATTTTTCCCCACACACTTGGGGAATTTTATATTGTCTCCATTCATCCTGTCCATCCATCCATCCATCCATCCATCCATCCATCTTCTATTCATCTTCCATCCTTCTTTCCATCTGCATGTCCTTCCAACCATCCACCCATTCTTCCAACCATCCTTCCATCCATCCATCCATTCTTCCATCCATTCATCCATCCATCTGTCCATCCTTCCTTCCCTCCATCCATCCATGTCCTTCCATGGCCACACAGCCACCCCACAACTCCCAGTCATAGCCTCCCACTGCCCTGTCCAGTGCATGGCCCTTCTGGGGACAAGGGACGACTTCGTTCTTACCACTTCCACCACCATCTCCTGGCGCAGGAACCTGCGGAGCGGGGCCTGGAGCTGTTGGGACAAGGAGGTTCATGAGCAGGGAGCCCCAGGGAGGGACCCTCACAGGGTCCCTGCAGCCCCCACACCCCACCGGCTCAGACCTGGCACCCCAACCCCTTCCCAAACCCCCAGGAGCCCACCAAGGCCAAGTGATGATGAGGAAAGCAGGACCCAGAAGAGAAAACAAGTGGCCCAGCCTGGTGTGACCCAGAAAGAACAAACGTGGTTCAGTTTTGGGGAGAAGGAAAGACCAACCCCATGGAAGACCCCCATACGTACGTCCTCCATCCCTTCAATGTGGGACTCGATCTCCTGCACGATGCGGGCGTTCCTCTCCACCTCCTCCGCGCTCTTCATGCCCTTGTTGATCCTCTCAGCCACTTGCTTGATGTTGCGCTGGGCATCGATGAGGTAGGGATGGTCAGGGTGGTCCTCTGGCGTGTGCTTCAGCAGGTCCTACCGTGGGGACACAGCCAGGACATCACCACCAGAAAAGCCTAGGCATCGGTGGTGTCACGACACCCCCAAGCAAAAGCCCCCAGTGTGCTGCTCTGGCTGCTGGGGATGGAAACCAGCTCCATGCAGGAAAGGTTTTCCAAAGAGCGTCTTGAGCTTTGGCCACCACCAGCCTGGTCTTTGCCACCTCTAAAGAGGCCACCAGCTCCTGAAAACACATCACCTTGCATGGGTGCCTGAAGTTCATCCCTGGGGGGGTTCAAGGCCAGGCTGGATGAGGCTTTGAGCAACCTGGTCTACCGGAAGTTGCCCCTGCCCATGGCAGGGTGTTGGAACTTGAACTTTGAAGGTCTTTTCCAACCCGAACCATTCTGTGATTCTATGAAAGCACATCCCCACCAGCCTTTGTGCCCAAGGGATGGGAAAAGGGGCCAGGAGAGACATGAGACCCCTAAAAGCTCCCGTTATGAGAAGGTGAAGAGGAGCCATGGTGCCACCTGCTGCCGGCACAGTACAGACACCCTCCTGCCTGCACCCACCTTCACCAGCAGCTCGTATCGCGGGATCCTCTGCACCGGCTTGATCATCAGGTCGGACAGAGCCTGCTTCTCCTTGTTCTCCCGCATGCTTTGCTGCAAAACACCATTGGGGGACAAGGATAGCCCCGTTAGGTGGGACACAGCAGGGACCCAGCATCCCACCAGTCCAGGACCTGGAGCAACACCCACTTGGGGTTGGGGTAACTCCTTTTTACACCATCCGGAGTGACTCCGGTTCATCCCAACCTCACCTCTTTGCAGTAAAACCAAGAAGGTGGGGGGAAAATAAATCCCAGTCTGACCATAGGTTACTAGTTTACTCCCATTAACCCAACCCTTGCAAGGCTCTGGACCTTGGCCAGCATCTATGGAGAGAGGAATCCAAGACCCACCTCCAGGAACTTTATGAACGCTGGCCGGGCTTCCTTGGCGATCCTGACGGCATCCTTGGCATTGAGGAAGTTATCGATGTAGGCTGAGTAGATGTTCACCAGCACGTCCTTGGAGAACTGGGAGGGGAAAAAAAGGATAGGTCAAGCATGGACCTCCTGGCCATGCCTAGAAGAAGCTGCCCCAAGGGTTAATCCTGTCTCTGGGCTGGCGTGGGGAGGGCTTGCCCACCACCCTCGATTTTTCAGCCCTGACATTACTACTTCTGAGGCAGAAGCACCGAGCTGCAGACCCAGCTGGTCACTGCCATTACACTACGCAGATGGTGGGCCTGGAGATCATCTCCTGTTCTCCATTCCAGGCGTGTTTGGTCCAACCTTTAACTCTGCCTCCTGCTCCAAAAGTGTTCAAGGCCAGGCTGGATGAGGCTTTGAGCAACCTGGGCTAGTGGGAGGTGTCCCTGCCCATGGCAGGGGGTTGGAATGAGATGATCTTTAAGGTCCCTTCCAACCCAAACCCTTCTATAATTCCATGATTCTATGATAAAAATTCTCCTGCTGGGGCCATGCCCAAGAGTGGGCATGCCTGGGTTCCCCAGAAGAATTACACCCCAAGAGGACCTACCGACTGCACAAGGAGGTCGCCCACTTTCTGCTTCTCGTGCCAGTTCTGCACGCAGTCATGGATCTGCTCCAGGAACTGCTCGTGGTGCTCCAGCAGCTCGGGGATCTGGTCGAAGATCTCATCCACCAGTGACGGGTCGCACAGCACCGAGTTCTCCGGCTGCTTCAGTGGCTTCATGTAACCCTGCCAGGAAGGAAAAACATCGGCGTCCCCATAGATTTCTTTTCCCACCCCCTCAGGATGAATTTTTCAACCCCTGTAACTACATGATCGGTGTCATCCTGCAGGAGGGGGTTCCCCCAATGAACATTGGGTTGTGGGACCCATCAGAAGCTCTAGGTCCCAGCAGGTTTTGCACCCCAGTCTCCCTTGGTCCCATCCCACTCAGTGCATCCCCATGGCAGTGTGGGGAGTAGGACAGGTCTGCATGATGAGTCCCCCATCTTCCGTCCCCTAGCCACAACCTTGAGAAGGTTCGAATTTTTGCCGTCATGAGCCTTGGTCACTTTTGTCTGCTACAGAGCTTGACCCAGCTGGGCAATCATGGCAGCATGACCCTGGGATTCGAGGGCTGGTGGGTTCCTGGTGGGATTTAGGGTGTTTGGGACCAGGAGGGGCTGGAGCCAGCAGAGTGGATGCACTGGGTCAAGCCATTGACCACTTTGGCCAGCAGCCTCTCTTGGGTAATGGTCAACGAGAGCTGAATTTGCAAGGGATGCAGGATGAGGAAGGTCTTCTCAAGACTTGCCGGCCCCTCAGCCTGATTGGTATGGGGTGCTGGTGACCTTCAGGATGTTGGGAGGACCATGGAGCTGAGCAGTGAGGACAGGACCCACCTCAAGTGGCTTTGCACGCCTCCATCCAAGCTGGAGGAGGAGTCAAACCCCAAGGATGAGGTTCCTCAAGCTGACGGTGGGTATCTCACCGAGACACAAATTAGAAGGGCCAAATCCTTCCTGAGGCTCCTAACCCACTTCACCTGTCCTACTGTGGCCAACACTTCCAGGAGTGGGGCTGTGCCCTGCATCCCACCCACTATGAAACTGGGGGACCAAGGACCAAATCGGGGAGAAGAAAACAGAGACACCCCCTGTCTTGGCACACAGGAGAGTTTGCCCATGCACCATCTAGCCTGGCTGGAAGATGATGCTCCAAGGTGGTTCCTGTTCCTGGTAGCCACCATGCTACATGCCACTGGGCCATGTCATGGATCCAAGCACCTTGTCCCAGCTGAGACAGGGTGCTGGGGGCATCTGGAGCCCTGTGATAGCCCCACACAGACATCCAGGTCCCCCTGGTTGCACTACGCCAGGATGTGTCCTGTGGGTGAGAGCTCCATGGCTCCCACCCATGTCCAACCAGTGTGGAATTGGTGAGTCTCAGTACAGCTGTCCTCTCCAACCAGCCTCATGTCCCACCTCAGAGGATGACACAGACCATTGGACAGTCTCTGTCCATGCCAAGACCAGCAGGGACATCAACCAACCCAAGCTCTGTACAGCTTCCCCCAAAAGAAGCCCCAGAGCCAGGGTCCTCTCACCCCTCCAAACCACCATCTGCACTAGGAGCAGCGTGGAAGGCTCCTTCCCTCCTACAGAACATCTGGCAGAACTCGTCTAGGTCCACCACAGGGACATCCTCGCAGGGGATTTATTGGGAAAGCTGAGTGTTGGGATGCCGGGTGCCTCATGGACAACCCCAGCAGATGTCCTACAGACACCGCTTCGTATCGAGCAGAGCAGAGCTCTGATTTTTTGGTGTTTCCATCTACAGCAGTGTGGTTGGACAACCCTACGACCTACGCCAGCGCAGCATTGACCACCATTAATCTTCTAAAACTTGGGGTGGACCCTCCAGTGGGCTGCTCCAGTGGGGTTGGAACCAGCTCAGTAAAAAAAAGACCTAGAAAAACCCTTGGCCCATGGCTGCAGGTGATGACACTTGAGCAGAAAACAGGGGGACAGGGGGTGCAAAGGGTCCCCCATGGCAGGACGGCCATCAGCAATGGTCCAGGAGTTGGGGTGCAACACAATAAGAGCTTTTGGGGGACAAGTACGGGAGGGGGGCTCAGGGACATGATAACCCCCAGGTGACAACCCACCAGGAATGTTATGGGCTTGATGTGGGGGACAAAGGTGACCCACACACCCTGTTCTTGACACTACTGCCACCACTGTCCCCAACATCCCCGCTGCCACCCATCCTCAATCCAACCCCAAGACACACTGGTGCTGGCAGAGCACCCACAGCTGGGCGTCCAACTTGGGGTCCAGGGAATGGTGACAAGCAAGGGACAGTTACGCCGTGACGTGAATTGGGGTGTCACGTCCCTGGCTGTGCCGTGTTACCTGCATCAAGGTGCGCAAGGACTCCACGTAGGACTGCTCCGTGTCCAGCAGTGTCATGATGACATGTTTCCTCATGTCCTGCCCAGGTGGAAAGAAAGAGAAGATAGATGAGTTTTGGGATGGCACAATGGGCTGTGGCCCCATAGGAGGGGATTAATGTTGGGGGACGGGGAAGATGAGGAGGTGGTGGTGTGGGATGGTCCACCAGTCCTGGGAAGCAGGTGGGTTGGGGTCTTCTTGGTTGTGGGGCTTGGAGACCTCCATCACACGCAGCACCCATGGGGCGAGATGCTCCAGAGCCCAGGGTGTGAGACACCCCAGAAGTTTAGGTTCAGAGATGCTCCAAAGGCTCTAAGTACAGAGATACCCCAAAAGTTTGGGGTGTAGAAATGCTCCAAGGGCCTTGGGTTCAGAGATACCCCAAAAGTTTTGGGTGTGGAGGTGCTTCCAGACACACTGGGTGCAGAGACACCCCAAAAGTTTTGTGTGTAGAGATGCTCCAAGCACCCTGGGTGCACAGATATCCCCAAAGTTTTCCATGCTGACACTCTCTAGATACCCTGGATTTGAGACACCCCAAAAGTTTGGGGTGCAGAGATGCTCCAAAGGCCCTGAATACGAGACATCCCAAAAGTCTGGGGTGCAAAGACTCTCTGCAGGCCCTGGGAAAGGAGATGCTTGGGGTACAGAGACATCCCAAGCTGTGGGTGCAGGGAAACCCCAAAGACCCTGGGTTCGGAGACAACCCAAATTATGGGTCCAGGGACACCCCAAGTCCCTGGAGGCTTAGACACCCTCAAAGTCATGGGTACAGAGACATCCCAAGCTGTGGGTCGAGGAACACCCCAAGTCCCTGGAGGCTTGGACACCCCCAAAATCATGGGTACAGAGACATCCCAAGCTGTGGGTCGAGGGACACCCCAAAGTCCCTGGAGGCTTGGACACCCCAGTGACTCTGGGTACAGAGATGTCCACAATGCCATGGTGTGAAGATGCTCCAAAGGACATGGGCACAAAGACGCTCAACATGTCCCATGGATGGAGAGACCCCAAAGGCCATGGGTGCAGGGACACTCCGAATGATGCAGGTGCACAGATGCCCCCAAGCCCCTGTGGGCAAGGACCCTCCAAAGGTTCTGTGTGCTCGGACACCCCAACATCCCTGGGTGCAGGGATGTCACCATCAGCCCCGGGTGCAGAGATGTCCCACCTGCCACCACAGCATGTTGGGACCAGGTTCCCCTGAGCTGCTGACACTATGGGGGTTGCTGGAGCCACCAAACCCCCATTTCCCCCATCGCCTCATGGGATAACCCCATATCCCACAGTCACACAGGGCTGTGTCCCCCTCACTGCTCCCAGTGGGGACACAGGTGCCACAAAGCTACTCTGCAACCACAAAAGGAACGAAGCCCACCATCTTCACCATGGATGGAGGCCACCATGTCCCTGGTGGTCCCCAGGGAGCCATGGGGAGGGCTCCTGGCTAAATCCTGCTCGGTGCTGGAGAACAGAGCTGTGCCTCAGTTTCCCCACTCACCCACTGCTCCGATATCCGCCTTTCCAGCCATGCAAGGAGGAAACTGTCGAGAGCCAAATATTACGGTGATGGGTCAAAGCCCCCCCCAGGAAATCTGACCCCCCAGAACACATCGGGGTCCTGAGGGACGCCTGCTGAGACTTCCCCTCTTCATCACAGCCTCTCACCGATGGATTAATTTGTTGGAATTATGGGCTGAAGACACCCACTAGAGGATGGGCTTTC